CTTGGGAGTCTTCAGCGGCTGTTGTGGATGGAGCATGAATGGCAAAAAAGAGAAAAGGCTGCAGTAGTGACCAAAGAGAGTTTGTGCATGCCGGCCAGGCAACTGGGAAAGTTTTGCCACTCCTGTCAAGAACCTCTCTCACTGCTTCCTGAACCCACAGTGGGGTTTGTCACCAGTGCTTGGGCCACCTGACCACCCACTGCGGACCAACAACTCCAGAACAAGGTAAGGGCTAGCTGAGTGGCTAGTTGCTCTGAAACAAGTCATCCTGCAGGAAGTGGTCCTGGTGTGCATGACATGACAGTCCACCATGGCTAGTTACCCTTGATGGTTTGCCATGCTGTGCAAGCCCTGCCAATTTCTTTCTCTTCTGGCCATGTTTTACTTCCATATAAACACTGCCTGAATGCCAGGACTGAATGTACAAATGCAATCAACTCAGCTGAAAATGCTTAGTTTTGCCTGGTTTGACCTCCTACATTGCTTAACAAACCCAGAGTCGTATTTTCCCAGTGGTTTTGGCAGAGCTCAATGAATAACCTAGGTAATCGAATTAGAATGCAATGTGAGGATTGCCTGCACTTGTATTTATCTTGATTTTATCACCTAGCAATCAATGTTGGTCTTGTACTATACAAAGATCCCGGAGTTCAGTTTTTTCCAAGTGGAATCCTTTGAAATTACAAAAAAGCAGATTAATATTTTATTGGAAATAGGAAAATGCACCCATTTGCCCAAAGTATAGTTTTCATGCCATGTTGCTAAATTCAAGTATACTTTATGCTACTAATATGCAAGGCCAAAGGAAGTTTTAGAGCCTATCTGAACTGGGACAAATTTGACAGGCAAACTTGACAGAAAAGTGAATGCAGGACTTCAAGTATTCACTTTCAGCACTAGTACATTTGAGTTCATCAATTAAGATGCACACACATCACTACCAAGTTCCTACTGTGATCTTTTGGAAGGAAGGCTGTCTTTCAACAAAAGCAATGAAACAGAACACTCAGAATATATCCCAAATGTAACTAACATTTATTTCAATTAGTCAATTTGTTTTTATTTTTTTCCATAAACAAGAACGGTTTGAGTGAAAACAGCCATTGGGCTTGTTTTGGTCAAGGGAGAAAGGCAGGTATGAATCCCTTTCCTATACCTGGATTGCTTTCTTAATGACTTGTACATTTCCATTCCAAAAATTGCTCGGTAGAGCTATGTATTGACCCTTCTATCTGTAGATTGTCCCAGCAACATTTTTTATTCTAAACCAGACTTCCCCAACCTGGCACTCTCAGATGTGCTGCACTACAGTTCCCACCATCCCCAGCTGCACAGGGGGTACCGGGCTGCAGAAGTCTGTTGTCAATATTTACTGATATCCAACAGAAGCTTCCATTTCCCAGAAACACTGGAAGTACAAAGTCTCTTATTGAGACCTGTATTTACTAATATACTATTTCCCCCCTAAACTGATGAGAATAAGGCTACTGACTTGAGAATTCCCAGCTTTCCAGGGCTCCTCTGAACTAAGCAAATAGGAAGCATCCAAGCTAGATGGATGTTAAGTGCTTGGGGTGGAACAAAGATAGACAACTGGTGCAAGTCTAAGTCAAAAGGGGGGAAAAAGAGTTCAGGAACCAATCTGGGAGAACGACGTCCAAGTAACTTCAGATCAAATGAGTTGTCTGCTTACGAGACTGTATAGGCGGTGCTACAGTACATGTTCTGGCGCTCATTCCTGCTGGAGCAGAGACTGACTTACATTCACAGAACCAGAAAGAGGCAGATGGCATGACTCAGCCAAATTTAAGCACTTCTACCAGTCAGTACTAATTTATGTGCCTAAATCGTTCACATTTAAATCACAGGAATTAAAAATGCTTATACTTGCCTAGGTCACACCCATAGAGCTTAAGGCAACGTGTAATTGTGTTAGCCCACAGTGTCATGTTAACTCACTTCCTATATTACATTCCAAGAAGCTTGCAAAACATGGAATGTTGCTGTTAAATTGGATACCAGAGGTTCCCAGAACTACAGTAGAAATGCTATTAAATAAGAGGGGCCTAAAGCTACCATTGTGGTAGCTACATACATTGTAGCAAGATGTATAGTTCTTGCCGAATAGTCAAGAGGCACTGGATAGGTATTAGGAGCAATTGTGATTCCATCCACATCGAGCCATGAGGACTAAATGTCACTGGGTCTGGGAAGCAACAAAGCACCTTTGCAAGCATGGTCCACTGGGATTTCAGTGTGGTCATCGTGAGTAGCACAACTGGATGTACAGTGTCCTACACAGCGCTGGAACAGTTCGGTGAATACAGGAGGTACTTGACACCCACCAAATGTGAGTCTCATTCACATGTAACTGTTCTGATAAGGGATGTGTCAGAAAAAAGATTTCCCAGGAGAGCATTCCCAGGGAACATGCTCACGTGGGGGAACCTTGCTCTATCTTCAAAGGTCAGGGTGGCAACATTGGTAGAATTTAATTTGCTGCCGCACAACAATCCTGTGCTTTAAGATAGGCTGAGCAAGAGGGACTAAGAGGTCCACTGAGTTTCTCGGCAGAATTGAACCTAGGTCTCTGTTATTTTGTTGCAATGGACTAGAAGGGTTACCACTCTGGGAAATGCCCATTTGCATTAAAATACATCTTGTCCAGTTATTATTTCCATGAATGATTAAACAGATATTTACATGAACCTTGTAAAAGAGACTCAAAAGGCAATTCAGGTTGCAATTCTATACATATTTGCCTGGGGGTAAGGCCTTATGTCCTATTGAATTTAAGGGGGAGATTGCTTCTGAATAAACATGCAGATGATTATACCACAAATCCTGAAAATATCCTAAGTTTAAGATGAGCAAGTGAGCAAGACTCACAGTAACCTAAAGGTCCACCTAAACACCCAGATGATAGAACAGTTCATGTTGCAAAATACTGGAAAGAGGAAACAAACACAAGCCTTGCTTAGGGCTTAAAAAGACAGACATTTTGCCTGTTGACTGGGAGTGTTACATACACCAACTCCATTTCAGCTCAGTGCTTATAGTTTGGCAACTAGATGAAGATGCCTAGGCCAATATGATTTTTGTTTTTTGTTTTTTGTTTTTTTGTTTCATGGTTTTCCAAAACTTGTGATAGGATACTTACAAACAACTAAAAATTTGTTCATTGCTATCTGAGATATTAACATTGTATCAAAAGAAATAGATTATTTCTGAAAGGTTTGTGGAATTTCACATCAGTCATAGTGCCAGAAAAAAAATTATGCTACTGACTTAGGAGCAAAGATGGCAAAGGGAGTTGTTGCTCACTTTTTAGAAACCCCTCCATTGCAAGAAGATGAATACAATAGGTTGGACCCAAATTTAAACAAAGTTAATGTAAACCCACTGGAATCAATGAGATTTAAATCAATTAAGTCCTACTGATTTCAGTGGCTCTATTCTACATATTACCAAGTTTGAATCTAGCCCAAACATTGGCATCACTGCCTGGAAAAATCATTTTCTGTTCTCAGGCCCTTTTATCACTGTTTGCAAGGACCAGAAGAAGCAGACTTTTTAATGATCATTTCTGACTGAGCTGCAGTCAGTAACAGAGGCTGTGAGATTGCAAAAGGGAAACAAAATAAAATGGAACTGGAGTTGAATCTTGATCTTGAAAATATGTCTATCTCTTCAGCAGCAATAACTCTCTGTTTCATGCCAGGCCTGTGTAAAAAGCAGGCTATGGGCAGAACGTTGATGTGAACCCCACAATTATTGGCCTACTCCAAAATCATGCATGTACAGCCCTGGTTGGGGGTTATGAATTGCACCAATCAGTTGTTCAGTCAGAAGAAGATAGGAAAAGGCTAATAACAAGCCCCTGCCCACCCCCAAACCTAGTTGGAACTGCACATAAGCTGGTGAACCGCACATGCAGTGGCTACTTCTGTTTAGGGATGCACAAATGGTCTCCTCACACTTGCATGGCTGCCGGCTGGATCAGGCCGGCTGGTCCAGAGTGAGCAGGTACTGCAGAGATTTGCAGAGAATGGGAATGGACTTGCAGTAAGTTCAGTGCAACATCAGCACATGCAGCTTACTGAAGCAGTGTGGCAATCGAGAGGGAAAATGAGCAAACACATGTGTGCCGAAGCACATATGCACGCAAACACACGCTCCCACAGGTACGCGAAACCCATCAAGGTTCTGAGCAAAGAGGACAGACACAGACCTGCTGCTCACAGCTGTGCCTTTGTGCACTTCTTCTGGGGAAACTGAGTATAAAGAGTTCCCTCCAGAAGACTCTACATTAGTTGGGTGGCAATACTTTTTCTGAAGTTCTATTTCTTGTCTCAGGTTGTAAGCTTATCTGGTGGCCCTTATATTTGTACATGTTCTGAAACCACCCAGTTTTGTATTTTTTAGAGATGTCATAAATGATCAATATTATCATTAAATTTGGCTCACCATTTTTTTCTCTCTTGTACCAACACTATTAAAAAGAATGGAACCTAAGTTGATTTAAGGTCATTTCTTTAAAAGGACCTGCCATGCTCCTTGCTTTTTTTCTGTTCAAACAGATGTAGAGGTTGACGCTGGATTGCTCTTAAATGTGTGTGTGTGTGTGTGTGTGTGTGCATGCATCTGTACCTAGCATCTGAGAGACTAAGATGGGACAATAACACTAAATCTCAAGAAGGGAACCATGAGAGTCTCTTGGCCTGCATGCTTGTTCACTCCCCCATTTGCCTTCCCTAAAAGCGCCCAACCAACTGGGCCAATTCTCAGCCCACAAGTGTTAAAAATAGCATTTTCATTTCTTCCACCCGTCTATAGACAGCACCCCAATCTGAAACCCACACAGATTTTAAACAGATCCCCTGCACCCACCCCGGCCTCCATTTCACAACTCCCTTCAAAGTGTGCACACAGATACAGACTGAAATGCGGCAACTGGAACAGCCCTGTGACCCCCACCCTCCCACCCAGCCCTGCCCATTGCTAACTCCTTCTCCCTCCTAGAAATCCAGCTTCATTTATGGAGGTAGGCATCCAACCAAAGTTCACCAGATTTCTTTAGGGACCTAGGAAAGAAAAGAGAGGCATGAATTTCCAGTTTTATGCAGCACAGTGTGCTCTCATCATTCTCCTAGATTTCCCCCCTCGTGACTGGAGTCCATTTTGGAGATGCCCTCTGGTCTGCATTCTAGTAGTGGGTTTGGCCAAGGCAGAAGTAGGTGGGCTACAATATCCACATACACAGACCCAGCAGTTTACCGTAGGATGCATGTTTACTCCCAAGAATGAGTAAGAACGTAAGGAGAGCCACGCTGGGTCAGACCAAAGGTCCATCTAGTCCAGCGCTCTGTGTGCACAGTGTCAAACCAGATGCTCACAGGATCCCTCAGGCAGGATGGGTGCAAGACTGGGTTTGCCTGCCCAAGCTCCTCAGCAACTGGTGTATGCAGACATGCCACCTCTGGTAAAGGAGGTAGCACATGGCCAACCAGGCTAGGAGCCACTGATCATCTCCTCCCTCATGACTCTATCCAATTCCATTGTAAAGCCATGCAGACTGGCGGCTATCACCACTTCCCGCAGCAGGAAATTCTGTATTAGCAAGATAACCCTCTCAGACAAGGCTCAAAAGGAAGCAGGGCCGCATCACCCGGCAGCACTTTCAAACAGCATTTCTACTCAGAAGCAGGCATGAGCATCATCTGTACTCACAAGTAAGCCACAAAGGTTTCTGCATGAGTACTCAAAAGGAAGCAGGACCAAATCAGCAGCTTTCTCTCTGGGCCCTGCCCTCTTTCCCTTGCAAGGAAGAGCTCTTATCTCTGTCCAACAGCTGCTCAGAGATAAGAGCTTTTCCTTCCATGACACCAGGGGTGGGGCTAGCAGAAGTTGGCCGGCTCGATGAGGAACTCTTACAGGCCCGCTGATGGGAAGTTCCCTCCCCATTCCTTGTGGAGAAGACCCCCAAGTCTGGCACTGTGCACTGTGCCAGCCCTTTTATAATCAGTACTTCTGTGGGTATGGGATGGTTTTATGGGAGAACCTGATACAACCTGCTGGCCTTATAATGTCCTACTGTCTTCTCTAGATGTTCTAGAAGACCAGGTGAAGAGGCTGACAATCTCTCCCAAGCTTCTTACCCAACAATGTCTGAGAATGCTTTCAGGAGCGGCTTTTCTTCATATGGGACTTCATACTTGGCACACAGGGACTTCACCAATGGTGCTATCTTGTGGTAGTTGTGGCGTGGCATTGTGGGAAACAGGCTAAAATAAAAAGGGGAAGCCTGAAAAAACTGGAGGAGCAGCCCTGGGGCAAATGTATGTCTGCATGACATCAGCATGTGATTGCCAACACACCCCAGAACTCTGGATTATCACACTCAGTGGTCTCATGTAGGTGTTGAATAGCATGGAGGACAAGACAGATCCCTGGGGAATCCCATACTGAAGAGTCCAAGGGGGAGAGCAAATAGTCCCCAAGCCCCACCTTCTGGAGCTGGCCATCCAAGTAGAAGTAGAACCACTGCAATACACTGCCCCTACTCCCAGCTCAGACAGTTGCCACAGAAGGATATCGAGGTTGATGGTGCTGAAAACCACTCAGAGATCCAGGAGTACCAGAAGGGTCACATCCCCCCTGTCTCTCCTGGCATAGGTCATCATACAGGGCAACCAAAACTATATCCATGCCAAAACCAGGCCTGAAGCCTCAATGAAATTGATCCAGTTAATCACTCTCATCCACAAGTGACTGGAGTTGGTTGGCCAACACCTGCCCAAGAACCTCTAACAAAAAAGGGGATATTTGCCACTGGCCTGAAATGATTAAGATCTTCCGGGTCCAGAAAGGGTTTCTTCAGGAGTGACTGCAGCACCTGTTTCAGGTGGCAAAGGACCACTCCTTCTCATAAAGAGGCATTGATGACTTCCCTGGCCCAGCCAAAAGTTCCTTCCCTGCTAGCTTTGACTAGTCAAGAGGAGCAAGGATGCAGTACAGATATAGTTGTGTGACCTTGTCAAAGCGCCTTGTCAAAATCCTTGAGCTGTACTAACTCGAACTCATCCAACCCCCACCCCCACCCCATGCCCACCCAGGCTGTGCTCTGGATATCCTGCCTGATTCTACTGCGATAATATTGGAGTGTAAGTCCCAGTGGATGCAAGAGCTTTTAACCTGCAAGCACCTAGCAAATATACTGCAGTGGGCCTCAGACATTCTTGGAACCAGCATGTTGTAGACCGTCAATGACCCGAGAGAGCTCCACTGGGCAGCAGAAAGAAGACTGCATGGAGGTAATGAGGCTTTGTTTCTTTGTTGCCAAATATACTCAACTATGGGGATGTACCAGTCTCAATTTGATCCACTAGGAGCTTTCCTTAATAGGTCCCCAGCCCTGCAGAATGCATAGTAAATATCACCACTATTATTGCTAATAAGAAAATTCCATTTGAGGCCTCCCTGGTCTTACCACAAGATTATGATTTCATGCCATATGTCTACACTCACTAGCAAAGCTTCAGATTCAAGTACAGCATACTTACTGGTGCTCTATTTGAAAGTTCAGGTGCCCACTGAACCAGTCATTGAAAAAAGATTGCTCAACATTGCAGGTCGCTACCAACTGCAGAAGGTAAAAAGACAAAATATTGAATTTCTATACAGCCCAAACTACTGAACATCAAAAGCTTTGCCTCTCTGGCATTCTATATGGTTCTGGACTGTGATTCCGGAATCTGGCATTCTAACACTGTAAGCCAAAAAAATACTTTGGATGTTCACAAGGGCTTCCATGGGTCCAACTATTTGACAGAAGGCAGGGATGATGTGAAATGCTTGCAGGATAAGTGCTCCTCCTATGGCTGGAGGAGTTTTAGAGTTCAAAGACATTTAATGCTGGACACAGTTCCAGTATGTAAAATCAGGAGCCACATCAGATGTTTATCTTATAGTCAGGGGAGGGCGATTCTTTACCATGGAGCATTAAAAGGCTCAGTAAGAACTGCCACAGGTAAGAAGTTCCACAGACACAGAAACCAACAGCCTTCCCCGCTTGTGGGCAGTGGATCCTGAGCTCACAGGTCAAATTCCTGGGCCTTTCTGATGAAGAATAATGAAGCATTTTGAGGTGGATTGGTCTCGAAGAGATCACAAGGCCCCATTAGCTTTAGAAAAGGCATACCTAATACAGGGAGAGCTGGAACAACACAACTGCTTGGTTTTTTGGGCTCTTCCTGGGAGTGTGGCAATGCGGAGAGTCATGCTGAGCACTTGCACTTCAACGTGTACCACCACAGCACAGCTTAAAGGCAGCAGCAAAGAGCTCCCAGGAAAGTTATACTGAAATTGCCCGAAATGGGCTGGATTCAGCGGCTTCTTTGCTTGCATGCACTGTGCCAACTGTGTGCTGCACAATTTGTCGAATTACCCTTGCAGTGTGCATCTTCTCCTGTCATCCACACCCAGGAAGGTATGTGGGAAGGGTGGCTTTGAAACTGCTCCAGAACCTATCGCTGGATAGCCTAATGGGAGTGGTCTCACTTCCCTCAGATATGTCATTGCAAAGGCTAGTTCTGGCAGTGATTAGGATTCCCAACTTCCCAGTAAGTTTTACTTTATAGGAAGGATGTGCATGCGGAGTTGGCCCTCATAGATTGATATCCTAGCTATTGTCTTGCGTAAGCATTAAACTTGTCTTCTGCTGAAAGTCAAAGACACCACGATCCACAAAGATTTGATGCGAAGTGATTTTCCACACTGGAGTTGCATGTTTTTAGTACTAAACGGTGCGATCTCAGGCTGGATGGCTCAGAAATTCCACAGAGTGGAATGGCATTTACTGCCACATAAGTGTGCATAAGATTTTAGGAACTCTTACTATACAATCAATACTAAATTAGTAACTCAGACTACGAGTGCTTACCTGAGCACTGAGCCAGTCCCTGTGCTTCTCATTGTCAATTTCCATTGGGATGTGATTCATCTGTGTGACCCAAACAAACCAGTGACTTTCCATAAACCTGTAGTTAAAACACACACAAAGGAATTCAGCTGTTTATCTGGACCTCTTCATCCTGAGCAGTGCTAGATCAAACATTTAAAAAGAGGTTAAATGTATGCCGTCTCCTGTACTCCGAGAATGCAGGCTGAATGAAGTTCTTGCCTAAACCATCTTGAAATGTGGTCTTTGCATCACAGCCTCCTCTCTTCTATAGAAAAGGATCACTTAGGCTACAATTCTATGCATGCTTACAGATAAAATGCCTACAATTCTCAGCATGCTGGGAGCTGATGAACTTTTTTTCTGTCTAAACATGCATAAAATTGTCCCCTTGCTCTTGCTAGGGAAAGTTGAAGGCAGAAGACAAAAAGGAAGGCTAAAGAAGAGATGGACTAACTCTATAAAGGAGTCTCAGCCTTGAATTTAGAACAGCTAAGCAGGGATATCATGAGTAAGACTTTCTGGAGGGCTTTCATTCATAGGGTCACCATAAATCAGAGAAACTTGATGGCACGTAACAACAATTACCTTTTCACTGAAAACGTATCTGGCAGTTTCTTTTGTCTGTTCTGTTTAGCCATTCAGCCATGTATGTTCTATTAATCGGAGAGGGGGAAGCTGTCCAGATTGGATAAAATACAACAATAAATTATCTTGGGTTTCCTATCACCTGTTTCTCCAGCCAAGCACAGGGACTACTTTCTATGTTGGGAAATGCTTGCTGGTTGCCTCTGAGTTATGGAAGCCACTGCAGGCATCCATTCTCCACCTCACTCAGTAAAAGGCCTGTTTACAGGTAGGAATGCATGAGGCTCTTCCAGAGAATTCCTTGCCACTCCTCATCTGACACAGCAGCCCTCATGTTTCACAGACAGTCCCAGGGTCCCTTAAGCCAGACGTTTCTGTTTGTGACAATTTGACTCCTGTGATATTGACAGTTTTTAATTTTGTCTGAATTCCACTGAACTCTAAATACCAGAGATACTGATCCTTGTAGTATTTATTATTACGAATAGTGGGCCATCTTCTCCTTCTCCCTCTCTCCTTACGCCAAGGGATTTCATAATGGTGGCAGTGACCTTTAGGGCAACAAAAAAAGGTGTAGGTCTGGGAAACACTTGTTTCCTCACTTGGTAAGTTCAGTCACAAGTGATGACTTGCATGCCTGAAAGGGCCATCACAGATGTACCACCACAGAAGGGATATTCATATTGCCTTCCATCACCTCAAACACAGCATTGATCAGTGAAGCTAGTTCAGAGGACAGTCCCTGAATGCAGAGTAAAAACAGGTAGACAAATCTGGTAATGTGTGTGCCTGTGAGAGTCGGGCCTTGGAAAAAGGGGGCCAGATGAGAGAGAAGCATATAAAGAAATGGGGAAAGGGTGCAGGAAATGTTGAGGAAGGAGATCTGAGAAGCTTCTAAGGCAGGGAGAGGGAGGGAGACAAAGACCATCTTGGCCACTGCTGCAGCTGGACTGCCCCTCACTGCCTTGTGGGAAGGTTCGGAATGAGCTGCCGCATTTTTATATTGTTTAATGTAGTTTTATTAGCTGCTTTGGGTTTTTATGATATGAAGTAGTATGGAATTATCATGAATGAATAAATAAATAAATGCCATTTTATGCTACTTGGAAACCATTTGGGAAGGATTTGTTCCCTGAAAAAGCAGGCTATCTGTAGTTGAAATTAACACAAGAATGAACAATACAGTGTAGCAGACCAAGGCTAGCGGGCAGGACAAGGCCTAGAGAGAAGGAAGAAGCCAGGCACGGCAAGAATGCAGTCTGGTTACTTGGACAGCACTCCTCAGTTGTGATGTATGCAGCCCACTTACGGAAGGAAGAGGATCAGAAAGGGGGCCGCCCTTTTATCCCTCTTACCTGACGAAGGTGAGGAGACACATGGACCCCAAGACTCCATAGAATGGGATGAATGTGATGAAATAGCGTATATAATAGCTGAAGGCCCACGCCAGGTCCTAGGGAGAGAAGAAAGAGATTACCCATCGCAGGGGGTGAGCCTCCCCCCTCCTCCTGTCCATGCTCACTCACACGCCACATGCCGCGAGAGATGCCTCTTCGTCTCCCCCAGGCACGGCTTTTCGGCGTGGCCCAGAGGATCTGGCTCCAGTGAAATGGGGGTGAATGGAGGCAATGCAGGGGGACATGGGGCGGGGTCTTTCACTTACCACCCAAAACTTGTGTTTGAACATGGTCGTGAAGATTTGCATATGGAAGTAAACTGGAATGAGGAGAGGTGGGAAAACTGAAAGGTAAAGCAGAAGCATTAGAGGAGGCAGGCCAGCATGAAGCATATAATGGAGGCTTGGGGCTGAATCATAGCGGTACATCTGGTGTGAAGTGCTCCTTCTCAGAAAAGAAAGGAAGAGACTCTGTCTGGGTTTGTGTTGTCTCCAAGATATGAAAGAGTTTAAGTTACCACTGGAGCATTCCAGAAAGGACTTACAGCTTGGACTTACAACCTGTTCAATGTTAAGAAAAAAGACAATCCACACTTCTGGTATTGTAGCATTTCAAAATCCAGGTGAATTATACCATGTCTGAATACTGTACCATGTAAAAATTCCATACAGGTTTTAAAAAGGCACCTTGGAAAACTATAATATAGTTTTCTCTTCAACATGCTAATTTTTCACAAGGAGATAATTTTTGAGATACATGCTTATTTTAAAAAATGGCATCCCTCCCCTTGAAGGGCTACAGTACCAAGAGGAGCACTGACGTCTGCTTTTCTAAATGATGGAATTACTTCTGTTCATTCACCTGACTTGATTTGCTTAGCTCCCAATATGTAACAATGTAATTACACTTTATAAGCCAGGTGTGGTTATCCTTTACATCTCAAGGACCACAAAAGAAAGCCTATAGTGTGGAGGCCCAAATTTTGTGGCGCTGCATGACATCCAGTTTGGTACAGCAGCTGCAGTGCTGGTTCAGGAAACCCAGTTTCAAATTCTCACCAAGCCAGAAAGCTCGCTGGGTGACCCTGGGCCTGTCGCTCCCTAACTGAGCTGTTGTGGAGATGAACAGGAACAGGGAGGGGGGCCATGTAGGCTGCCTTAAGCTTCTTGGAGAATGGATGGGAGAAAAGCAAAATCATGCTCTGAGAATAGAAAGGGTCAGGAGAGAGATGCATGGCATGGTCCCGACTGGACTCTTTGATGGAAACTCGCAGGTGACTGAAAGGTACATTCACCTGTGGCTGCATGTTGCATATGTGCAAGGGGGATCTTAATATGCATACATGGAGCAGTTTGCTAGAAAACAACGTATAACACTGCTTAAGCAGGAAGGAACTACAAACATGATCCAGGTCTTCTACTTTCTCAACATGTAGGGAAGTAAGAGGAAATGAAGATACTCACCAAAAAAGAAGTATTCGTGCTGGTGGTTGTAAGGAAAGAATTTCAGCTTCTTCTTTCCATACTGAGGAAGAAAAAAATGGGACCTTCTCAGTGGTGACTTTAGGCAGTGGAACTTCCTCCCAGGGAGATTTTCCTCCACTTATAATTAGGCAAGGTGGAGAGGGAAGCAGAGATAAAAAGCGACCAGATGGCAAATACCTGAAGGCTCCACTTTCTACACCACACCCTGGGATTTGTCTATACCTGCATGCAAGGTGACATCACCACCTGGTGCCTCTTTGGTTCTCCTGCCTCAGCTCCCCAACTTGCCTTTTAAACAACTTGCCTGGGGAAGAGATCTGGGGATTTCCAAAACTTTCTATTCTATTCTATTCTAATTTTTTGGAGGCATTTGTGTGTGCGATGTTTTGGTTGGCCTGTGAAAGGTATTACAGAAACATGGGTTTTGGCAAACTTTCTTCATAGCAACCTATCCAGTAACATAACCTTTTGTTAGTGATTCCAGTAAAGCGTATTTCTTAAAATATTTCAAAATATCAGCATGTCTTATGCAAGCAGCAGGTGAAAAATCAGTCACCAAGGACAAGAAGCGGTGATTGTACTAAGGCCAATAAAGATAATTATAAACCATGGAGGGAATGCCAGATGAATATTATTTTACAAGCAAATGTTTAATCATGCCAAAGTGCTTGAACATGTTAATTAGGGCCTGCCTGATTATGCAGGGCATGCCTAAGGGAGCATATGGTGTACAAGCCTCATGCAATCTTAGCCTCATTCTCCTTTAAGCTGTCACCAGGCCTGCGCTTGTCCTTCCTACAGCTCCGCGCCCGCTTAAAAGTGCCTTCCCCACATGTCCCAGGCTACCTTCCTTCCAGGGACACAATGCTCCCAGAGCGACCCCTGTGAGTCGCAAGCAGGATTGCCGCGCCAGTCCGCTCTTCGGGGGTCACCCAATTTTTCCTGGGAGGGGTGCCTGGCGCCATGTGCTACCCAGACCCTGGGCTGACACAGCCTCCTGCCCTCACCCTCACTCCTCTTGACAGCTGCGGCAGCAGCTCCTCGGCCTCCTGCTGAGAACCCTCTGCTCTGGCCAAAAGCCCTCGCATGGCAAAATGTTGCACGTGGGGAAAGGCAGCTCCTCAGTCCCCCTCTGGGAAGTCCCTCTCTCTTCCCTTCCCAGTCCACTTGCGGAGAAGCAAACCGCCTGTGCGGGCCTGGCCAACGCCTTCTCTTCCCCAGGCCCCACGCATGGCACTTGGCCATCTCTGGCCTGCCTTCCCCTCACCTTGCTTCTTCCACTCCGGGTGAAACAATTCTGGGCAAAACACACACATAAACGGCATGGCAGATTCCCTGAAATGAGTAGCTAATTGCAGAGTGAGAGAGACGGAGGGAGGGAGGGAGGGAGGGAGATTAAGACAAATCTGTTCATTTCAGGAAAGGACAAAGGCTGGGGAAGCAATTCATTAAAAGACTGTCGAGAGCCTGGGCAGAGAGGCAAACACAGAAGCTATTTTAGATGACCTCAAATGCTTTCTTTTACATTATTTTTGTAAAGAAAAGATTTCTCAGGCAAGCATCAGGAGGACAAAGGTGGGAAAGGAAATAAATGCTCTCAAGAGGACTTGCCCTGCAAAATGGCTGCGCCCCCAGAAATGCAAGGCAAGTGATAGAGAAAGGAGTGGTGTCTCTAAGAAACAACAACTCCCACTGTGCCTCTTCTGCCCACTCCCTTATCCCCTCCTGCACAAAGAGATTACATTGGCATGCTGCTCTTTTCTTGCAGAACAGATTTTTGGTGGAAAGAAAAGACAGAAGACACTGTGGGAAAACAACAGGAGAGCTGCAAGTGGATGATGGCATGGTTTGAAACCTCATCCCAGGTTTGAGATGTGTCCATTTGACATTAAAAACCTTGCCTGAGGAAGCTCCGGAGTTCAGAGAAGTGGAAGGGTGGATTTTTTTTATATAATACTATTTTCTAAAGAAAGCAATCAAAGTGGTATACAACAGATCATGGTTAAGACATGAGAGAAGAAAAACTGTCAGTGAATCATTTTGAAACATGAAAACCAACCACACTCCTAAAAACAATTTAAAAGGCTGAGTTAAAAAGAGGTGCCTTGGCACTTTTTCTTAAATCAGATTGGAAGCGACACAGGAGAACGCATTCTCAGTTGTGTCTGTCCATCGCAACTCAAGGAGAAAGTACTTTCCTCAGATAGCAGAGGGCCACCTATCAAAATTCTCCACACTGGTACAATATTTTATGGTACAGCAGATGGGCTAGAAATCTGTGCAGAGTTAATTACCCAAGTGTATGATTTCCAAGCACAAAGCTCACACTCAGGCCAAAAACAAATAAAATGCATCAGTAAAGCATATTATCAAGGAACCAAGCATCTATATAGTTAAAAGACAGCCTGGAAAAAGTTGCCCACTTTAAGGGGATTTTGATTTCCTATATATATCATTTTTTTCTGTTAACCTAACAGAAGACTCCAGCTATAGATATGAAGTTAAGCTGTAGAAATGAAGTTATGGATAAAGATGATCTAGGTAAACCAGGTCTATCCTTTAAAACAGAGCTAGACAATGTTTCTTTGGTCCAGGGCCACATCCCCTGCCCTCCCACCACTACGTACTTGTACTCTGCTCTGGATGTTCATCAGTGGTAAGTAGGGCTGAGACCAGCAGTGGGTCAGGCCAGAGCCAGAAGTGGGTCATTGCCCCTTTTCTTGAGGGAGGAGCTGCAGCTCATTGGTAGGGCATGCAAAAGTTCAGCTTAGTTCTAGGTAATGTGGCCCCTACCTAATGGCAGACATATTCTCCATGATTTTTTTTTCATCCTTCTAAACAGTCAGGTGACTGTCAGGTATAGCAGTGGTTCCCAAGCTTTTTTGGTCACGGAACCTTTCTGAAGACATTTTTTTTTTCTGCAGAAACCTTACTCTGTTCCTGATTTTTTACTAAGTATTATGAACCCACAACATTCTTCCTTCTTTCATCTGCTCCTATAGCCTGAGTGCTTTGCATGACATGGCATGTGTGGAAATAAAGAGAAAACATTTTAAATATAATGAATGAATAAAGCGATTATAGGGCAATATACCAAATGCATTCTTTCAATTATTCCTAACACTATGCAGCAGAACCCTAAGAACAAAATGACATGATGCATTTCCTTGTTTGCTGCTTGGACGCCAACTGACAATCAAATAGTCAGCTTTGTGTGATTTCATTTTAAAATCCATTTTAAAATCCATTTTAAATTTGACTTTTGAGGGTTTTTTTGCAGAACCCCTATGAGGCTTTTGTGGAGTCCTAGGGTTCCATGGAACACAGTTTGGGAACCACTGAAGTATAGTAATAAATACTGTTAATTATGCATTGTGGAAAGACATATCTGGTGAGTTTTTCTTGCACCTTCTGCCAATGCATTTCATTGGGAGTCCTCTTCCAGGGCGCAGCCATGTGCATCTGCTGCCGCAAAACCACCATAGCCTTGGGGCATATCAAGGCTTTACTCCTGCATATGCTTCCATGGGGAAGAATCTGCTTACAGCATTTTGCACAAGCATTTTTTTGCCTTCTCTTTCTCTGCATAAAACATGATCATGTCACTTTTGTTTCTCGCCCATGCTAAAGAGCCCTGACTATGTTATCCTTGCTTCGTAAGACAGATGCTTAATACTCCCAATTACCTGAAATGCCCTTTCCTGGGCCTTCTTTGGCCCCACTAAATCCCACTGGTTAGTGAGGAGGTGGAATTATGCTGAAGCATGTGTGTGCTTGGGTGGGAAATTACTGCAGGCTTCAGTCAAAGGGAAGCTCCAAAGCATATTTAGCCCAGTGAACCCACATCCACTTTCATTAAAATATGCATATTTAATAGATCTTTCAGAGGGCAGCTGCCAATGGAAATAGTTTTATTCCTAAACTTTAGTATATCCTGCATGAGAATTGTACCACAGCATCTTTTAAAAAGAACTATCAGCTGCATGGGGGGTGGAGGTGGTGGTTCTGATCCAAATCAGGGTCATACTTGCTTTCTTCCACTATGTTAAAACAAAATACAAGCTGCTAAGCCATTTGTGTAACATATAATTTTGCTCTAAATGGCTCAGTGCTGAAGGCTGGCATTACGCCATTCTTTATTTTGTCTGAATCTGCTGAGTCAAACCGTATCAACCTGTTGCTTGAGGGCAGCCAGTTCTCTGGAAAGAACAACTGAAGAGCATTCCTGTACAACCACAAGCACTGGCTGTGAATGGCGCAGCTGCTTTTTATTATCTCCCCCATCTTTGGCTAGTTAGTTTCAAGCTTGTATAACAATGATCAACATATAACAAAGCACATTAAAAAGGATGAATTTGATCCTCCTAGGCAAAGAAAACAAGACCAAATCTGCTCTCCCCACTCATCACAGGCTCTATGTTCTTATGTGGATGTGGCACATTTTGGGCACTCTGTGCAGGTGATGTGCTGAATACATTTTTCTGTGAAAGGAAGAGAGACTGAGAAACTATCATTACTCTGTTTCTTGGGGTTGTTTAAAATCTTCTCCACCAACTGACGGTTCTAAAATATTTTTGTTGCATTCATTGTGGGCATGTATGACACTCACTGTGATATTTATTTCCCCCAGGCTTTAAAAATATTTTTGACATTGCTGTTGAAATTTTGGATTCAGTTGCAGCATTTTCTTCCCATGTGCTGTAAGGACATGTGCTACAGACTCAGAGTTGCTGTGGCAACCATATTGTGAGATTTGGGCAGGTACAAAGCATCAGAGAGCGCTCTGCTGCATTTTGCATCGATTTTTGCCAGCAGATGCTCAGCAGAACAAGGTCACACAGTCCACCCTGGTGGACGACATACCACTGCAGCATTTCAGCAACCGACACAGGAAGTATCCACATTCCAAAGCATTAGATAGTCTTAGCCTTTTATTACCAATTCTTGTAAATACCCTATTCTTAGCCAACCACAAAAGGCAGAGATTTCCTGATGTCTGTCCCCACATTAAAACCACCTGTATTCTTTCAAGTCCTACATGTGTAGCTGAAGATAAGTGTTTATTTAACATGAAGCATGTTTCCAAAATAGGGATTCCAGATGCTACATTCCACTTGTTATATTACGTCAAACAATTCCAGGATGACCTCCCTCACTCCAAGATAGGTTGGTCATTTGTGTATCATCTTGCCAAGTGGAAAGAAGGCTAGAATTACAGAAGTAATACAGATTTGTGGGAAATGGGTCATTAATGTGAATCCTCCCAAGTCTAGTCCATCACTGGCTGTGCTGCCAAGGATTGATTGAAGGAGTTGTAGTTGTAATTGTTGGGTTTTGTTTCATTTCTATACTGGCCCACAGCCAAAGCTCCCTGGGAAGTTTACATAGTCCATAAAAACAGATGATATAAATACAATAAAATATCAAAAAACCAGGAAAAAGCATCCAAAAGTTTAAAACATTAAGAGCTGTAGTGGGTCAAAAAGTCTGGGCAGCCACATGCCTGCCCACACCCGCCTTAGGAGGCATGGCTATTTTCTAGAAGTATGAGTAAGGCAGGGTGTGTGTTAGCCATGTAGAGAAGCCAGTTTTACTGTCCATGGAAATAAATATAAGGGGAGGAAGGCTGCTTCAGCAGCTGACAGTGACTGGAAGTGAGTCCAGTGTGAAATACAAGTTTAATAAATAAAATAAAAAAACATGACAAGATATTAAATAGTTGTTATTTGGCTCCATATCCAAATAGGTGGTTTAATGGTTCAATTCATGTTTCCACAAGGTCCAGAAATTCAGACAGCAGCTATTGCAGAATGTGAATGTCAGCACTTTACTACAAAATACTATTGCTTTCACAAAATCCAGAAAATCTAACCAGGTAGAGTCTGGCTCATGAAAAAGCAATGCCACTCTATTTGCTATAGCACTCTGCTGTTTGGCTGGAATAGACTATCCTGGTTATTCCTCTGAAATCTTGGAAACAGAGAGCTTAGTGTAAATGCAACTTGACCTCACATCCCCTCATCTTACCTCAACAGGCTGGGTATCTCCCAGAACAAAAAGATGCCGCATGTTCACATCTGGGTCTTTCTGCAAGATGTTGGGCTTGGCATGGTGCTGGAAATGCCGGTGATTCCACCAGTTTGCTGAGGCTCCCTGGAGAAACACATGAGCAGCTCTGATTCTGTCACTGAGTCATCTCCACCGTATAACAGCCATTCATATGCCCCAAAAGAGGATATCATATAACAGCTTATACCCCACATGGTAAATATTTACGGAGCCACCTGAGTTAAGCCCCTTATTAATCTTGATTCAAAAACTCTGCTGCAGTCAACTGATATTGCTGAGAAGTGATGTGTGAATCAAAAAGCCAAGACCAAGCACACTGACCAGCTAAAGCAAAGGAAATGCTTCCCCATCACAGTGACCAAAGGGAAACAACCAGTAAGGAAAAGAAGACTATTTTTCACTTTATAAGGGATAATTTAAAGCAGGGGTGGGTACTCTCATGTGGCCTAGAGGCCGGCTTGCCCTCCAGAGCAAGTCCTACAGCAGAAGACTCGGCCTGGAAGCCCCTCCACGACAATCTCAGGCATCTCCCACTTTTCCTTCCCCCATGCCTCTTCCCGCATGGAGAAAGGGTGTTTGCTCCTGAAGAACTCCGGTCTTGCAAGCAGTGCCCAAGCTGGGGACCTCCTTCCAGGGACACTTGTGCCAGTGGCGTGGCAGGAGGCTTGGCAATCTCTTGCAGGACCGGCTCCTGCAAATACTTTTGCGTAAGGCATGATGCCTCCCCCAGGGAAATCTCACGCTACCTCTCATTTATGATCAGAAATAATATGCGGATTCCTCTCCCCAGGCTCCTCCCCAAACCCTGGCAGTCTCTAGGCCAGTGAGTAGGACTTCGGGAGAAACCTCTGGAGGGTTTCCTCACTACTGACTGAAATACTTAGAAGCTGCAAACCACGGCAGCGATTTCCTTGCTGGAAAGTAGCACAAGGGAGAACCGGTGCTTAATCTGGATGCAGTGACTAACCCTCGTCTCCCTGTGTTGCTTTCCTCCTGCCATCCATTTCCCTTAGACGAGAGTTTGTTGCACCAGGTGGGGACAAGCAACCTGGGCTGTGTGTCTTTGTGCGTGCAGGAGGAACAGTGAAACAGTGAAGCACATGCAAATGTCTACCTGCCAAGCCTGTCTTTGCAGCTAAATATTTATTAAATATTCAGCTCCTGAGATGAGGACCGATAGACCAGCCTCTCCTAATCTGGTGCCTTCCGGGTATGTTTGACTGCAACTCCTGCTAACCCCAGCTGGCATGTTGGTCAGGGATAATGAGAGCTGTAGCCCAAGAGATCTGGAAAGCACCAGGTTAGGGGAAAATGTTTTAATAAATAAATAAATAAATAAACAAATAACCTGTCGTCAATAGTAAAAACAAGGACAGTACAAGCCTATGTGCATTTAGGCATGCCCAGCATGCCACATCCAGGCCAGACTGCCTCACTTCTCTGAGTCAGGCTGTTGCTAAAGGCACTGGAATCGGTTTTCTTAAAACTCAGCAATTAGGATATAATTTTATTAGAGCATTTCAGGTCAGTGCTTATTAGCAATGATTGCTCAGGGCCAGCCCACAGCTTCTGCTGAATTCCTACTTGCTAGGCACAGAGTCTCTGCTGGATGAAAAGATGGGAACTATTCTTGGTTCTGTTCTGACCTTTATCCATGCTCTCTGGCCCATTAATGTCTCCCTGAGAATCAGATTTCCTGGTGGTGAGTGCTTGATCACCTAGCAGAAGGGTGCGTAATCTGTGACCCTCTGGATCTTTTGGCTCCCATTGTCCCTCGCCACTGGCTACGTGGTCTAGGCCTGACAGAAGCCTGGTTTGGACTCAAAGCGTTTATGGTCAATTTGATTCATTCAATTAGATTTTCCAGCTTCTGACTTTCAAGTATATAAAATCCCTTACTTCAGGATAAGACATGATCTTACTCCCACACAGACCTACCGCTAGCTTTGATCCTACAAATCTTGACCATGTCTTACTCCCGTAACAAGCTTGAAAGAAGTAAGAATAATTAGTAATGCAAGGTTCATTGCAACTTGTGGTCCAGATGTTGCAAATTAAGGTTTGCTTCTTATCCTTTGATATTCTTTGAAGTCACTCAAAATCTATTCCCTTCTGGTGGCATCATAGCAAGATCATCTAAAACAGATGGTTTATTTTTGCTCATTTCTTGCTCTGAAATAAAATCACCAGACCTACGGCTACAGTTTACTGTTTCAACATTTTACTCCGGAAATGGAACCAAGCAGGCCTCCAGGTGAAATTGCCCTGCGTCTGTAAAAGCAGCAGGAGAAGCAGACATTCAACACATCCATAGCTTGATCTCTTGGGGGTTTGCCTGTAAAAGAGGCAGGGGCCCTCTCCAGAACAAAGATGCCCCCCAGTCATCCCTTCTTAATAAGAACTGGCCTTACCTTTAAGTGACCAATCACAAACTTATGAACTACATGGTTCCAGACAGACTTCTTAAATACAGAGAGATGTCCAAAGTCATGCTGTAACCATCCAGCTTGGGCCTTGGGAAGAAAAAGGATGATCAAAAATAAGATAAAGATGCATCTAAGAGAATTATGATATCCTCCTCTTCAACTCTTCAGTATTTTCTCTTCAGTTTCAAGTAACTGAAAATTTGGGCATCCATATTCCCAGCTAACACAGGGACTAGTACAGGTCATATCAACATCATTAGAAAGGAGAATGTCTAGAACATCAGCAACTATTTTCATAGACTCATAGAATAGTGGAGTTAAGAGCAGCCAAGAGGGCCATCATGTCCAGCCCCCTGCTGTAAATAAAGTTTTGTCTATACAAAGTGTAAGAGGAAGAAGCAAAAGTATGCCTGAATCAGAGCAAAGAACTTGCTTCAAAAAAACAAAACAAAACAAAAAACCCTAACTAAAATCATTCTATGTTGTTTCTGCTCTGTTGCTGGAAACTTGTTCTGTTGGTTTCCTGAAAACAGCACATAAACTGTTTTTATTTGGTTTTTTAAAGCAATTTCTTAGGTCTGTTTCAGATCATCCAATGCCCAGGCATTCTACCACTGTGCTCTAACTTGGAAGATGACCAGGGTTTTGCTATAATGCCCCCCCCCCCACCCGCCCCAGCTATAGGATCTATGGCCTTTCAGACTCCAACTCCTATCAGCTCCAGCCAGCAGTTGGGGATGATACCAACTCTAATCCAACAATGTTTGGAAAGCTACCCGTTCCCCATGCCTGTTTTGGCATGCAATCCACAAAGAGCAAGTTTATGCAAAGAGGCAGGGCACAGCCGCTGCAAGCGAGAGTCTGGACTGGTCCGTGCCTCCCCAACCTTGAGTGCTGACCTGTGCATCAGCCAAAGCCCGCTGCCCCACCTGCCACCCCAGAATGGCAACTGAAAGGGGCAGGGTGGGGATATTCTGCCTCTCAGCTCCATTGTGGCTTATTTTGATCATGCAAACTAGATCAATAAGTGTGGAATAAAGTTTCACCTGAGAGACTGCAAGGATGACAGAAAGGATGAAGGTTGTGCTCCAACCCGTCCCACAGTATGAAACCATTAACCAGGCCAGAACTTCCATTGCAAGGATATGGCCCAAACAAAGGGAAAAAAATACAGGGCTAGCCTTGAATAAGTCCATGTCCTCAGCTGTCTTCCTCAGAGAGCGGAAATCTTCCAGCAACTGAGCCTGCAAATACAGGATAATGAAAAGGACTTAGGCACACACATTTTCTCCACTTTGCATCCTGGGTCCTTGTACAGTGTTCATCCCCTCCATCCTTCTCCGCCATCAAGAAACAACAACCTGAATGCTGAACCACAGGGGTCCCACTGCGGTTGACTGTTCTGCATGGATTGTGTAAAATATAACAAAATATGCACATATTCCAAGAAACAATTTAGGAGCAACAAAGAGTAGACAAAAGTCATAGAGGGAAAGAAATGTCATGGGAGAAAGAGAAAAGGGATGCATGGCCTTGACATCTTTAATAAGTCTATTCTTTTCTCCGTATTTGAATCTTCCTCAGTATATTGATGCTTTTCTGTAAAGTCATGCCTGAAGGAAAGGGCTTATGTAAATCTATATATAGGGCTGGATCCAGATACAGAGCAGACCAATTAAAATAACCCACAAATGAGGGGACGGGAACCTCCGGATCATGGACCTTCCCTTGCCGTGGGTCACACAGCACAGGGAAAGCAACCTTGATGGCAGGGAATGGTTACAGCTCAAGCCTGGCCACACCTCAGTGTCAAGGGGCATGGCCACGATCCCTCCCACAATCCAACTGTGGAAGACCAGGAAAGGGCATCCTCCTTTCCCTCCCCCTAGGCAACTGCACACCTTTGCATAAATAGACATTCCCAGGATGCCAAATCCCGAACCCACAGACAAGTAGCTCATGAACAGCTCATGAACTGCCTGTGAAAACCAGACAGAGGTTTTTGCCTTTTTTACATTAAGAGCAGGCTCCAAACTGCAGCATCACACACTATGTATAGCAAGCCTGTATTAAGCACTAAGCATGCACTGGACAGAGAGTTAGGGCCAATCCTGTCTCCCTGATATTTGCAGGCACCAATTTGCCCAACTGACTCTGCTTGCTGGAATCATCTTTACATGTATACCTAAAATCAGAAGAACCACAAAGTCAGGGCAGTCCCAAAATGCCAGTGTGGCGTAGTCGTTAACAGCATGGGACTGGGACTCAGTCTATCTGGGTTCGAGTCCCCGCTCAGCCATGGAGCCAACTGGGTGACTTTGGGCCAGTCACAGACTCTCAGCCCAATCTACCTCACAGGGTTGTTGTGGGGATAAGATGGAAGAGGAGATGTAAACTGCCTTGAGCCCTTTGTAGGAAAAAGGTAGGATATAAATCGAAGGGAAAAAAAATCAGGGAGAATGATCAGAGCATTTGTGTACCCTGCCCATGAAGCACTCCAAAATCTAATAGATGCACCAAGTTATACTGTAACAAGGTGAGGGAATCAAAACATGCCACAAAATATGATCTAAATTGAAATTTGAGAAACTTTCTGGTGATCTGTTGTAAAGAGTGTTGCTATATTTGTGACTTCTCAGTTGAGGTTCCGCACATTGTTAAAACAAAACATAACCCTAGCTTCTAATCACAATATGTTACTATTTGAATACTGGGAACATCCAAGTACTCTTGCAACAGACAGGGGGGGACACTCGTACAATCACCGGGAAAAGAAGTCATGGTGGCTTATTTGCTCTACTCCAGCACGTGCTGGGTGCGGGCTATGCAATTTATCTAATTGACCTCGGAGACACAACTTGCCATGCTGCCCACACCTGGCCAGGTCTTTTCAAAACCACACCAGAACCATGGTTTCTTGTAGGGTTCTGGCGTGGTTTTGAAGGCATCCCCACCACACACCTTGCTAGGTTCAGATGATGAGCCAAGCTGTGTGCCGGAAGGGTAATGAGACAAATCATGCATCAGACTCCAGACACACGTAGGGGCTGGAAAAAGAAACCACTGTGGCTTTTCTTCCCAATAATAATATAAACCCAAGGCCTGTGATTGCCCAACACCACAAAACAAATACCTGGCAAGGCTCTTAGAGTATTGTGGCAGTATGGAAACCACCACAGCTGTGCCCACAGCCGCTACTAATTCACGATATGGCTAAATATCTCTTGGCCCATCAGACGTCTGTCGTGTTTTTCTGTATTCCCCCCTAATTGGCCTCATGTGGGCTACAGGAGACAATTAATGCCACTTAAGTATCAGCTACCCCTTGTCCCCCATCGTTCTGTTTGAGACATAAAGCTCTGTGCTGTGCAGAATGCCGTCCCTTAGGAAAGCCGCTAATGATGGATCTGCAGGTTAACAGTAGGCGCTGGCTACGTCGTAAACACAGCCATTCAAGAACAAGAGAGGGCTGGAAAGGGCTTCCTCTTGGAATCAGCCAAGCAGCACAGAGTGCCGGAAAAGCTGACAATCTGAACATCAGGGATCTCAAGTGATGTTGTGACAGGGAGGGCAGATGGGGAAGGTGGGATGGGGTCTCCTTTGAGAATCTGCCCTTTGGACCGAAATGGGGAATGTCTTCAAACTACCAGAGGCTCAACATGAACTAGGTCAGGTCCCAAGCAAGAGCAAGGAAAAATATACCAGTGGTTTGATAAACAGATGATTGTCAGTGCTTTAGGGAGCAGAATCCTGACAAGGCATATTTCCAGCTGTCTCCTTTGATTACATCTTCAATGGATGAGTTCCCCCAGTGCAGTGTCAACTCCCTCCACCGTCCCTTTATTTCTTGCTTCCCTTTTTCATTTCTGAGAACCCCTCCCTGCTTTCCTGCATCTTGCACTTCCTTCAGGTCCTTTTTATTTTCGATTTATAGCCTGCCTTTTTCCTACAAAGGGCTCAAGGCAGCTTACATTATTCTCCTCCTCCATCTTATCCCCACAACAACCCTGTGAGGTAGGTTGGGCTGAGAGTCTGTGACTGGCCCAAAGTCACCCAGTTATCTTCCCAGGAAGGGTACTGAGCTGCACTCCCTAAGCTTCACATCTCTTAAGATTTCTACCTTCCCCCTTTCCCTTCTAGGTTTATGACATAACAGATCCCCTCATAGCTATGTACCCTCTTTACTGTGAAAATCAGGTTTCCTCTCTTCAGTATGATTTCAGATCTGTTTAAATATATGCCTGACAATGTCATCAATACTGTAGCCTTAATTCAGAGCTCCTCACATTCCAGTTCCCTAACGTTTGCTTGCTTTTGGCCTATCTAGTTATGGACAAGGAAAGGGCTGAGATGGTGCTGAGCTGCATATGTTAAATAACCATGGGATGGTTGAACTGACCTGCAAGAACATGTGTCCACCACTCCTGGAATTTCATACCTGCTGTATGGAGGCATGGAACAAGACATGCCTCTACATTTCCTGGAATTCTCTCGTTTAACCTGTAGAGCAGGGGGTGAGCAACTTGTGGTCCTCCAGATGTTGGACTGCAATTCCCATGACCCCACTCTCTTGGCTGCACTGGCTAGGGCTGATGCAGATTGCAGTCCAACAATCCCCAGAGAGCTACAGTTTGCCCACACCTGTATAAACAGTGAGACTTGTGCGTCACAGGTGTTTGCATGGTGCACAAGAGCCCAGATGCAGCCTCACAGATGATGCAGCGGACGTGCAGAGAAAAGTAACTTTTACTCACATTCTTGCCTCTGTCTTGACTAGGTTCTCCAGGGGCAAGTTCTCCAATCAATAATGGCTTAAGAAACTTCCTTACGAAATTTATATCTGGATGAAAGGCCTGAAATGCATCCTAGAATAAAGAAATCAAATTTAATAACTCTCCAAGTAAGTTGCTGTTCAAATAGCATTTAGCCAGTCTTTTATACATCTCACATTAATTTTGGATTATCTCTTCTGTAGCAGTTTTTTTCCACATGTATAATCCTAGAAATGATTCACATTCCCTGAGGGGGAGCGGGATTTCTTAAATTTCTTAGACTAGGCATGTGGAACTGCCGCCCAGTAATTGTCCTACCCATCTATTTTCTGTGAAGGCAGGACTTCAGGGAGAGGTTTAGAGAGATGGAAATATTTCATCTCAGATATTGAAGGCTGGATAGGTTGACGACAAGCCACATTTGCCCCACAGCATGAAGCTTTCATGCATGCAAATATAGATGCTGGTTTTCAGTTGCTATTTTGAATCACTTTGGGCCAGTGTCTACATGCGTATACATCTCCCTTCATGACTCATCACTTCACTGCTAGTCATATACAAGAACTGACTCCATTAAAAACACCGTGCTTGAGGTAAGTTTTGAGATTTGAGGAGCTGCCATTATCATCATTTATATACTAACAGCCACTTCAGTTGTCTGAGTTCCAGTCATTGTGTAACCAAAATAGTACCCAAGAGAGAGAGACCAGCATGGCTTGGGGAGCCTCAGTATTTCCAGAAGAGCGAAAACACCTTTAGAACAATAAAAGGTGGTGGCAGAAAAGGCCGCTGAGGACTAAGCACGCTCAATAGCCATGGATTGCTCTTTAATCGTTTAGGAGGAAGCAGACAAATGGAGCAAGGCTGGAGGGAATGAAGTGGCTGGAATCTCGAAGACCACCAATCCACACTGCAATACTTTGTGCACATTGGGATGTGCTAATTAAGTCCCAGAGTCCATGTGCAACAGAGGATTCAGCTTTCACTAGTCCCAACTTTCCCATGTGGGAAACAGGGATTATTGAGGGACTAAATCAGGATGTACAGTCTGTATGACTGAATTCTCCCTGTCACTGTAAGAGGGCTGGGGAGGGGAAATACCTAAATTTTACAGGAAGATTTTCCACACATCCATTGTCTACCACAGAACCATACCAGGACTGTAAGCAACTGTTGCACCATTATGCTCTTCTCTGAGAAACACTGGCTAAGTCTTTTCCTTCCTCCTTAATTGGAGATTTATGCAGAGCCACCCACCTCCCAAATCAACTCTGATACCTGAAACAGGTGCCAAGACCGCTGATACAAAGAATCAAAGGCTGGGGGGAAAAGAAACTGTGGTTTTATGCTGAATCACATGATACAGTGATTTGGCAAAAACTTTTCTCAGAAAAGGAAACAGACAAGCTTTTAGGAGATCACAATGAACCGTACAAAGGATGTTGGAACGGCATCATTTACAATTGGAGAAAATACAAACTCTCTGGGAACTGGCTCATGCCCTTCATTACAACCCATTAACTGTCTTCTCCAGCAGCAAATTAAAGGCATGGAAAACGCTTTGTTGAGATCATGTTCTGGGCCCTGAGGCTTTTGAGTTATTCGCCGAATTTATGAAAAACATACACTAAATTTCAGTGTCGCATGATATCATGAACAAAAAGTCATCACTTCTGGAATTCTGCTAGCAAGCAATGAAGAACAGCTAAAGGACCACTACTACATCCTCTGCAGCACCAGTAAAAGTGGTCAAAGTCACACTGGCTTGCAGGACAATGGCTGAAAAGGACAATTTGCACAGTCTGGATTTGGCCAAGGAAAGGGGAACTGTTCTGTGTTCTTAAAACTGGCTGTCAGGGGCTTCAGAGTTTGATGGAGCTATGGGGCTCCCACTACCTGCTTATCTCCTACCTGCTCAGACCATATATTTATACACAAATATTTATTGCACCAAGCAACTTACATGTCCATTTCTAATAGCATCATCTAGGAAGGGGGGTGGTCTAGCTTTACAGATGTTGTTTGATTGCAAGACCCATCATAGGCAATAGTGAGGAGTGATGGGGGCTATGGTCTAACAACATCTGGAGGATCACATGTTCCTCAGCCAAATCCTATATGTGTCTACTCAGAGACTAAGTCCCATAGATTTCTCGAGCTTTATACCTTGGTAAATGTGTCTATAGCCTAACATCCCTCCATCCCAATGAAAGTCGACCCTGTAAAAGGTTGCAATGGATCTTCTAAGAGGTGTGGCCAGAGCTGAGCACCCCAGAGCCCTTGTGGTCCAAACACAAGTATGGTGGCAAGCAGTGAATACCGGTCTTCCACAAGTCATGTCAGGGAAGAATGGGTTGCTTCTGCTGCTGCTGCTACTTCTGGGTCATTCCCCACAGGACAAGCAGTAATGTAAACACTAAAACTGGTGTGCCTCACAAAACTGACATGGAGTGAGTGTACAGGTGGTGTTGGAGTGTTCAATGCCTGAAAGAAATAGCAGTTCATGGGATTCTTCTTGGCAGGTGGAACAAACAGAAAGGCAATGCAACTGAGCAGTGACTCACCTATCCTGTCTCCATGGCCAAAAGTAGGGCTCACCCACCCACTGTCCCCACAGTCACTGCATAAAATGAAAGCCGCACTGCTCTTTCGCAACTTGGGCCATTGCTAGCATCAACTCTCCCATGCACGCAAGATCGCTATTTGTCTTGGGAGCCAGAGCTGTTTTAATGCTGTTAAAGTAGCTCCGTTAATGGTACAATGGCTGTAAATCTGCATGTTGGATAGGACCTGCTATTGGCATCTTGGGCCCTTTGCCCAAATTTCCCACTTCCCCAGACTAAACTCTGATGTTGCTGGACCTGGCAGCAGACCCTGCTCTGCTCTGCCATGCCATGGCTAGCTGTATTGTTCACTGGGCATGCTTTGGCACCTTGCCAAAGAGACACCCCAACTATATTAAAGATCCATAACTTCCTTCCACATTCACATGGCACTCCTATTATTAACACACTGTTGCCACAATCTGCCCACCCCTTCATGCTGCTGCCATAATCCACCGCTATTCCCCCGAGTCTTCCCTGCAGCAAATTCACTTCCCTGAGCCTTTCCTTATCTCTGCTTTTTTTCCTTGAGCAGCAGATGGCTATGCATCAAGAAGTACCAGGAAGGAAAAACAGAATGTTCTATTTTTTAATGAAGTAGAACTCGTTCTCCCAAAGTACTGTTGCAATACCCAACTCTGGCAAATTACAACATCCCTCATTTCAGCAGCACTGGCAGATGCCCCTTGCTTTAGGGGTATCTTGTGTTTGAACGCATGCACCTTTCCCCTCCCCAAATTAGCACTCCGCACAAAGTAAAGGATGCTGCTTTTTAAATTCCTGTTGCTCCACCAAACTCCTCAGCTCAGACCCTTCTGCTCAGTGTACCTCTTCTGATTTTGCAAAATGTTGCTTGAGGAACGCTCACTGTGGCTTGAGGCAGCAACAGAGACAATGGCATCTCTGTGATCTTCTGGCATCAGGGAAAGTGGAACGTGTTATTCGAACAATTTAGCAACTGAAGTTGCAGTTTGGTGGGACATTGGGACCAATGAATGTATCCCATGAATAGCAGCTGTCTAATGCAGAACTTCCTTCCTTGAGCTGAAGATCAATGCCATCACCTACACCACCCACCTGTAAGGTCCATGGTAGGAAAAGATGCATAACCCAGAGTGCAGGGAGGTCTTTAGGGATGCTGCCCCAAAATAACCACTACAACAAAAGGCAGATTGCTGAAAAGACTGGGTCTAGCAATTCTTATTGATTTTCTACAGCGCACACACATAACTCCCGCTGAGAAGTTTATGAAAGGCTGACTGGCGACAAGGGTCAGTGTGGATTCACATGTTCTATTTATGGAGAAAGTCTTCACTTGCTTTGGACTGGCATGTTATCCAGTCATATTTACAAGAAAAACCAGTACTAAACGTTACCAGCACGGGTGCCTCTAATCAGCATGTGGAATTCAGGTGGCAAAATACCCCAAAGGGAAGTTAAGTACTCCAAGTGACTGGGTAAATTCACACACAGTTCTGCACACACGCATGGGACAACAGGGCTTAGATTTAGCATGACAGTGAGCATGTTTAGAGCAAATGCAGGCAGTGACAAAGATAATGACTTTCCAGTGCCGCTTACGTCTGGGGCTTTTGTGCCCAGCCTGACTCAAGAATCACATTTTCCCCCACCGTGCCAGGGCCGTTTCTTCACTACTGTCCGTCTCATGCCTGGGACCTCAGGAAAGGGCTTCCAGGAACAGGAAGTGCCACATGGCCATCTTCACCCCGGCGGGCTCTGGTGCCCAAGGGGTGGGTCTCCCCAGCACGTTCAGGACCGGCCCCGCTGGACCAGACAGGCAGAGGGCCAGCGCAGCTCAGCATCCTGCTGCCACAGTGGCCGGCCAGATGGCTCCGCAGCAAGCACTCTGGCAGGGTATGGGGCAGGAGCGCGGCAGCGCCCCCCGCAGTGCTCCTCCGCCGGGCCGAGTGAGATGCAAGGCGGTTCTTGTCACTCGACGCCGATTCTAAACCTGCACGGGCTGGCACCCCAAGGAGATTGAATATGGGTGCTGTTTTAGAGACTCCTTTTAGAAAGCGTGCTCATAGTAACCATACGCAAAGAGAGCCAGGATTTGCTCCTTTCGGCCTCCGCGCTTATCCCGCCCCCCCCCCCCCGTCGTTTAAAAATTAAAGGGGGGGGGGGGGATAGAGCAAGCCAACCACAAACAGCTGCAGAAGCAGCAACCGCCCGGACGTGGGCAAGACGCGATTGGCTTCCTTGCTTGTAGGACGGCATCCCAGTGAGCAACCTACTCGGAGAAAGAGGCACCCGAAGCGAAGGAGAAACGGCGCGGTTCGGCCTACTTCCAGCCACCGCTTCTCGCAGGCTGCACCGTTTTCCGCAGCCACGGTGCCCGCGCTGCTGCAGCCCGCGCTCTTCACCCATAAAGAGAGCATGCAGCCCTACAGTTCGCAAGCGCCACCTCCTCGGCGTCGGGGCCCGCCGAGCTTTTAGCATCGCGTTTCCCCGCGACTCACCCGCCCCTTGCTCGGCGCACCGCTACCTCCGTGGAGGAGCGCCAAGCGGCGGAGGCGGCTTCCCTTGCTCCGCGGGGCGCTTCAGGGCAGCTCCGGCGACGGCGCCCGCCCACGCCGCAGATTCCCCGCTCCCAACGGCGCGCGTCTCTCCTTCCTCCCAAAGCAGCAGGTGACAGACCCGCGCGCGCCATGCAGCGGCTGGGAGACACGAGCAGCCATTCGCCCCCGGCAGCAAGAGCAGCAGCCGCCGCCGCCGCCGCCGCCGCCGGCCGAGCGCCTTACCGTGGCATCCTCCCCGGCGTAGTGGCTGATGACGCGCCGCCCCCCCCGGATGCCGTTTGACCCACTGGCTGATATTGTACACCTTCCGCTCGATCACCAGCCACTTGTCGGTGAGCAGGTTGTGCTTCTGGATCTCCTCCCAGGTGTAGGAGCGGGTCTGCGCCTCCCGCTCTCCGCCTTTCCCCATCGGCGCTGCGCCGCTTCTTTGTCCGCCTCGTCTGCTCCGCACAGATCCTGCAGGGGGCCGCCTTCCTGCCTGCAGCCGCTGCGCCTCTCGCCTCCCTGGTTTAATTCATAGGACCCACCACCACCTTTGCCTTCCCTCTCCCTTCTCTTTGTCTTTCTTCCCTCCCAGCCCCGGCCAGACCTTGCGCGATCCCCCCCACCCGCCGCCTGCTCTGAAGTGCCCCCTAGGCTGCAACGGCGGACTTCCCCGCTCCCTGTAATCCCTACACCCGCCTGGGAAACCTCATCCGCTGCTCCATTTCACTCCATGAATGACCGAGGAGCTTTCCTCAAGTAATCAGCAGAGTCTGTCGGCCAATCCTCGCTCGCCTAAGGCAGAGGGCTGTCCTCCCATTGGCTGGCGGTAATCTTTCGAAGGTGAAGGCCGGACGGCTGGCTTAATCTCCAAGAAGACCTGATATTGCGAAGTGCCGCTGGACCACCGGCGGGGCTGGCTTGCGTGCTGGGGGCTGGCGACCTTGCGCGCTTCTAGGGCTCCACAGGGCAGTTTGCGACATCCTCGGAGCCGATGTTTGGAATGGCTGCGTGCCTCATCCCCCACCGTCCACTTCCATTTTTATTTCCAGGGTGGCCCCCAAAGAAGCCACTTTTCTGGGTGACAGCGGGCTGAGGTTACTAGCTGGAGAATGAGTCTCTCTAGACATGCTCAGAGCCGCTCTTATCGCTATCACATTGCATGACCCAGGACTAAGAACGAGTATCCAAAACACACTTGCAGACCTGAGGGTGGATTCACACATCAAGTTTATTTGAGGGAGGTTTATCAGTTCTACATTTTGTTCCCTATGCTTCCATGTGGTTATTCGATGCAGACGCGCATGTGCTGGTAACATCCTGTTTCTTGTGAATGTAACTGGATGACATGACAGCCAGGAATGGCAAGCTTTCACGCATAAAAAGAACATGTGAATCCACGCTGCGTCTTGTCTTCATTCAAGCCTTTCTCAGCTGTGAGGGTGTGCTGTAAAGGATCTGTAAGAATCAGTCTTTTCAGCAATCTGCCTTTTGAAGTAGTGGTTGTTTTTGGACAAATCACCACAGTCTGGGTTATGCATCTTTTCCTACCAGCTGGAGCTTAAAGGTGGGTGCTGAAGGTGGTGGAGTTGATCTTCAGCTCAAGGAAGTAAGTTCTTCATCAGACAGCTGCTATTCATGGGATAAATTCATTGGTCCCAATGTCCCACCAAGCTGCAACTTCAGTTAATTGTTCGAATAACACGTTCCACTTTCCCTGATGCCAGAAGATCACAGAGATGCCATTGTCTCTGTTGCTGCCTCAAGCCACAGTGAGCGTTCCTCAAGCAACATTTTGCAAAATCAGAAGTGGTACACTGAGCAGAAGGGTCTGAGCTGAGGAGTTTGGTGGAGCAGCAGGAATTAAAAAAGCAGCATCCTTTACTTTGTGTGGAGTTCTAATTTGGGGAGGGGAAAGGTGCATGCGTTCAAACACAAGATACCCCTAAAGCAAGGGGCATCTGCCAGTGCTACTTTCCTTAAGCAGTATTCACCCATCTATTCAGAGTCACAATATTCACACACAATATTTTCAAGAAGAAAAATCTGCAGTATTATTTTGCCCAAGTTTCATAACTCCTTCCAGCCTTTCCCTCATGTCTTGGGAGCTGTAATTGGATGAAAGTGTTGGTTTCAGTTATAAAAAGAGTACATCTTACTGTTATGCCAGTTTTAGTCTGTGGTGTGGAAAAGAAGACACTAACTTCTTCTAGATGGAGGGCTCTTAGCTGAACTGAGCCGAAAGCCTTGTGCAGTTTATCTATCTTTTTCTCCTCAATGGTTTTTCTGCTGCAAGAGAAGAGACGGGAGGAGCAGTGGGAAAGTGTGGGAGGCTTACAGGTGGAAAATGACATCATCTGGCCCCCTGTAATATTCTGTTAAAGAGGCAAGAGGATGCTGCTGTAACAGCTACCTTGGGAAACAACTTGAAATCAAACCGTCACTGCTTCAGCAAGAATCCAGTGCCTGAACCTGAGAAGCAAGGGAATGGGAGACCACTCTTAGTTCTCTCTTTCTTCTCCTGAAGCAGTGAAGGAAGAAACTGCCTGAGCTGAGATCAGCCAGGAGAGGTTAATCTCTTCCCTCATGCCAGAAGGAGGACCAGGAAATGGAGTTTGCCCTGTTGAGGCTTCAGGAAGAACTGAGGGATAACTGACAAGTGCTCCCTTCCCAGAACATGAAGCAAATGTGTTTGTCATCCCAGTAGGACATGCATGATAACATCCAGAAAGAAAACAGAGGAAAGTTAGGGAATGCTCAAGTGCCCTGTAACTGCTGAGAAATAAAGACAGAAACCTGAATGATGTTGGAAAGAAGGGGGAAATGGCATACCGTCCTTAAAACATGAATTGGAGGGAGGCGAGCGTGGAGGACAGGGTCCTTGTAAGGCAGAAGTGGGCAACGTGTGGCCCATGGACTGTACGTAGCCCGCCACCCCAGCTGCTAGTGTGAGCTCCACTGCTGCTTCTGTTGAAATTTGGTGGTGTGGCACATTGCCATTTGAAGTTTTTGACATACTTTTTATGACAAATGCTGGTAGTTTTTCCTGCTGCCACTTGCAGCAGGAAAAATGCAGCCCATGAAGTAGAAAGTAACAGCCCACAGGCCACCCCTGCTGTGGAGGCTCAGAGCAGCTCAGTTGGACCCCCACAAAAAAGAAGACATTTTGCAGCTTGAACCAGGAGGGCTGAATAAAAGAGTGCCCTTTTCACTTTGTAATGTAGTGCCACTCGTGGATTTCCCCTTTAAAACATGTCTCCAGGATTGTGAATGCCCAGTTTAAAAATGAACACTTCCTTTTGCAAAATTTCTTGAACCGAATCCCAGAAGGACAGAAGAGGAAACAAGATCTGAATCCACCATGCAGCAGAAAGGTAAGTGAGCATAGCTGTTTGAGGGAGCCAGGGGCAGAAGGCAGATATGCTTGGACTGGGTGAGCCAACTTCCCCTCCCCTGGAGTGAGTAATCAAGTGAGAACACAAAGATCCTTCGCTCCTTCCATTGCAGAATGTATGCAGAAGTAGACTGCCTAGATAATCCTCCCATGACCGCGTGGTGTTCTGAGACCTGCATCCCAAAATCTAAGCCTCTTGCCACTGACTATTTCCTTCAATGGCAGGGGAGGGGGAAGAAGAATGTGGTATAAAATATCACCAGAATCTATTGAGTTTGAAATGTCCTTATATTTCCCAACCAAGTAACTTTCTGGAGGTATATAATGTTTTCACAAAGAGGAAGAGGAAGAGGAGGAGAAGGAGAAGGAGAAGGAGAAGGAGAAGGAGAAGGAGAAGGAGAAGGAGAAATAATAGTAGTTTAGGGAAGGAGGCACTGTGTTTCATCAAGTTAGCACAGCCAATGGTATTTCATTGGGAAAATCTGCTTTGGTAGAGTCACATTTAGAGAAGCAACCAGTAAGACCAACCAGTAAGACCAACAACTTATGAAATTTTTGTTTGCCACCCAATTGGGTTGTGAACTGAGTCGTTCATGAGCCGAGGTATCACTGTACTGTTAAGCAAGAAATATCTGCTTTCATTAACTGTGCCCTACTATTGTGTAGAAGCACAGTCAACTACATGCAATTTTGTATCTCTTTTCTCATGTAGCCAAATGCTACTCTGAACCAGTGTCTCAATTTCTGTGCTTACATTTCTATATATAATAGAAATGCATGATATAGTTCACGTATAGTGTCTACGTGCCTTCAGACAGAGGGCTTCTAGTGCTACCAATCTTTGCACAGCTAATCTCTCCCCTCCTCACCCACCACTGCCCCAGAGAGGTTACAATGGGCAAAAATTGGCCCCACAGGCTGGACTATTTTGAGCAAGGCGTGGAAGGGAATAAAAGGGCACAGAGGTAGAAAGACTTTCCTGGTCTTCTCCCTGAGTCTCATCAAATCTCAAAGGCAGAGGTGGTACCAGGGTGTGGGCCATTATGACTGGATCTCCAAACCTTTCCTTCCAGGCTTGAATCTCTGGGAGACCATCTGCTCCATCTCCCCGCTGTGCGTGGGCACTTGTTGAAATAAAGGGTCGGGAGCCCTGGTGGTCCCTGTTGCTTCTGGTCTGCCTGGTTTCTGTGCTTCACCTCTTGCTGACTCCCAGATCTTTCTGCCTGAGGACTTATTCTCAAATCAAGGTCAGTCCCTTTAAAGAACTAGCCTTAAATCGGCTTAGATTCCAACCCGCTTAATATTGCAGGTATGAGAGGGAAGGAAATGGCAAGGTGGTGACAACAGCAGCCTCCTTCGCTCCATTGATGTGAGGCTAAAATGGAGCGGAGAAGGCTCATGTCCCCACCTTGGGCTCCCTGGAGGAAAAGGCAGCAGATAAATGCAACAAATAAAGATGCACCTCAGTACATCCCAAATGACTTCTTTCCATGCATTGGGAGTTATCCATGCCAAAGGCTTAGGGTTCAACTGCCACACACTGGAACTGAACTCAGTTCTTCTAGATTGACTGGCCGTCTCAATAAGCTTTTTCTGACCACACAGCTACGAGATGCGCAGCTCTGTCTTGCTGAGATCATGTGGCAAAGAACGATGACATGGGTCTGTAGAACTGGTATCATCAAAAGATGCTGGAAAACACAACATTTTCTGGCAGCCTTATAGGAGGATAGTATTATCAGGGCCATTGTGCATTCTAGACTTCTGGAATATTTGAGAAGTATTTGTACCTCTGTCCAATGTCAAAGCCTCAGGTTGGCACTCATTCCTACTTACATAACAAAGGGGCAACGAGTTCACTGTATTTACTTTTGAGCATGGTTTCAATGACCAGCTAAGCAAAAGGGTATGCATTGTAAGTGCTGCTTGAGAAATGAGTAGGGACTAGAGTAGCTTTAATTGAATAAAAGACTCTGTGTATTACAGAGGAGGAGAGGAATGAAAGTTTGGAAGGCTGTGTGAGAGCAAGAAAT